ATCACTGCAGTGTCGAAGGTGCTATTTTCGTCCAGTCTTGGCAATTAGCGAAAACACAAATAGAGTGTACCTACATTATTTTTATGTTTACTGATTAAAAATACACACTTTACGTAACGCCCGGTGATTGATTCGACACGTAGGTTCCTCAAACCGAGTGTGAACTCGCGGAGAAAAATGGCATTCATGCCCCATTGCCGCCTCCTCCGATGCACCGCCACCGATCGCGTAGCATTAAGACGCAAAATATTATTTTTACAAGTCAAGAATCTCAGAAATGCTAAACATCTGAAGTTAATTAAGGTGGATGCAAGGTATTTATAGATCCGGGTCGATACGCAGTCTGAAGAACCTCTCGCTATCTGGGAATCTGATAAAGGAGCGTCGGTGGTTAGGTTCATTGACTGAAAAAATTGCGCAACTCTAGAAAATATTTTCGCAATTTGTCTGGTGTGACACCGCGACCGCGGCCGGAACGGTTAAAGGGAATTGGTGCAAATTGAGCCGAACGGAGCTGAATGGGGACCTTTCCCATAATAATGCTATTTTAGCGTCAAATTCGCGCGAAATCACATGAAGGTGTCGTTCGCTTGCCAATATCACACCTCCGATATCACACCACCTGTTACGATCGGGCGCGGCTGCCAACTCCACTTTTCGACGATTCGTCGGATTTGCGAATGACGTATTCGGGCCCGATTTAGTGGTCAGATGGTCGATTTTGGCACGAAAAAGCCGACTATGCTGATTCGTGTGCATGTGGTTTATTGCTGTTTTTATTTCTTCAAATAGAGGTTGTTAATAGCACGACGACAACAAAGACGACCGTCTCGGTTGGCTTCTGCCACAAAATGAAACTCGACTATGTCGTAAATTACCTTTTTGGTCTTGTTTCCGAAAACGCCGACATCGTGCACAAATTATGGCGAGAAAGTCCGAGAAGTGGCAGCGGAGTGTTGCCAAAATCCAACGTGGGTACAAAGAAAACAAAGAGTGGTTTGATGCGACAGGAAACATGTTTTTGTTTATTGATTCGTGTTAATGTTATAATGGAAAGTAAAATAAAGAGAAGTTAATTTTGTGTACGGTTTACCGACTAAACAAAAATATTTTTTCCCGTTATGAAAACAAATGGCGCTTTCATCCGATCGACTAACCACAAAAACATGAATAAATTCGATCACAACATGCACTCATTAGAAATCCAGATAAACTATGATTTGTTGTAGCAGGCGGTACGTCAGTGTTATATTTTTACTTCGGTGAACGGATGATGAACTTTCGTATTTTTTGTTGACTGGATATTTTTTGAAATGTATGACAAGATATATGAACCCATTTAGCTCATTTTTTGAGATAACTAAAAATAACATTCGACAACTCCACCAAGACTGCTTTTGTACAACGGAGATTTACAACGCGTGTACTACAAAGTGTTGATTACAAATGCATTTGCTGTGTCAACGTAAATACGTCCGCTACGTATACATCAAAAGAATGGAAGCTTTAATCGTAACGGTGATAAGCTGTCTGGTTCATGTTTGAAGATAAAAGTTGGAAGAGTAAGGATGGAAACCCGGAACTGTGTAACTGCTACTCCTTAAACTGCTTTTTGTTGCGGTATTGGTTTATTACGTCAAGGTTGTGGATTTCCCTCTCCCGCACGAGCGATCGGGACGATCTTTTCACGCCAGGCACGCATTCCAAGTAACCACTTTTCAATATTTTTGCATTCGATGTTACTGTGTGAGGAATACAATGACGTTGCCGAAATAACATACAGACCTAATATAAACAGGTCAACAAAGTGTAGCCTTCGAATCAAGAGCAGTGATGAAGTATGGGTGATTCAAGTATAGTATACATACATCAATGAATTCAAAAACCCTTATAAGTCTATTTCTTACACTGCGGTTAGTATTATCTATATTATTTTCAAACAATTGGACTTCAGGGGTGAGGAAAGTTCTCTCTAATAACATCAGACGAATAAACCTTACATAATTTAAAAGTATATAAAATTTATTGTTTCACACAATTTGGACCGTGATGTCTTGTCTTGGAAGTAATTTGAAAGAATCTCCAGGATCTTTCTGTATATTGTTTTTGAAGCAATTTGGAAGGATCTCCGGGGACGACCCTCTTGTTTTGTTTTCTAGTAGTGTAAGAATCCCGGGTACCCCTTTTATTTTGTTTTTGAAGTAGTTTGAAAGAATCTTGAAGTCCCGTGATCAGAGGCTGATGGGATCTGCTGAACCAGGCCGGGAAAAATTTTGACCGAAATTTTATTTCTTTAAAGTCCATATACATATAAAATTTGGATTTGGGCACCGACGTTCTGGTGTACCACGGTTACCGATGCCTCTGGAAAATTCTCTATTTCCAGATGGTCCCATCCGCCCTTGTCCGTGATGTCTTTCAACTAATTTGAAAGAATCGGAAGAATCTCGGAAATTTATTGTTTTTGAGGGAGTTTGGAAGAATCTCGGAGATCGCTCGTGTCTCGTTTTTGTATTAATTTGAACAGAATGTCGGGGACCCCTTGTGTTTTGTTTCTGAAGTAGTTTGAAAGAATCTCGGGGTCCCCTATATCTGGTTTTTGAAGTGATTTGAAAGAATCTCTGTGACCCCTTGTAATTGGTTTTTGAAAAGTTTAAAAGAAACTCGGGAACACCTTATGGTTGGTTTTTGAAATGGTTTGAAAAAATCTCGGATAAGCCTTTTTGTTTTGGTTTTGAAGTGGTTTGAAAGAATCTTCGTGATCCCTTTTCTTCTCTTTTTGAAGTAATTTGAAAAATCTCCGGGATCCCTTTTTTTGTTTTTGAAGTAGTTTGAAAGTATCTCGGGGACACTTTGTGTCTCAATTTTTGATGTGGTTCGAAATAATCTCGGGGACACTTTGTGTCTTAATTTTTGATGTGGTTTGAAAGAATTCCAAGGACCACTTGTGTCTGATTTTTGAAGTGGCTTGAAAGAATCTTCTGGCTTGTGCCTGCTTTTTGAAGTAGTTTGAAATAATCTCAGTGACTTCTTTTGTTTAGTTTTCGAAGTAGCCTGATAGTATCTCTGGGACCTTTTGTGTGTGTGTGTTTAAATAGTTTTAAAGAATCTCGAGGACTGCTTGTGTTTGATTTTGGAAGTGGTTTGAAAGAATCTCGAGTAGCCCTTGTATTTAGTTTTTAAAGTAGTTTGAAAGTATCTCGGGGACCTTTTTTCTGTGGTTTTTGAAGTAGTTTGAAAGAATTTCGAGGCTCGTTCTATTTGGTTTTTGAAGTAGTTTAAAATAATCTCGGGGACTCCTTGTGTCTGATTTTTGATATGGTTTGAAACAATCTCAGGGACACGTAGCGCCTTGTGTTTTGTTTTTGAAGTAGTTTGAAAGAATCTCCGGGACCCTTTGTGCCTGATTTTTGAAGTAGTTTAAAAGAATCTCAGCGGTCCCTTTGTTTTTTAAGTAGTTTGAAAGAATCGCGAGGACCACTTGTGTCTGATTTTTGAAGCGGTTTGAAAGAATCTTCGAGACTTTTTTGTGCCTCCTTTTTGAAGTAGTGTGGAAAAATCTCAGCGACCCCTTTTGTTTAGTTTTTGAAGTAGGTTGAAAGAATCTCGGGAACTCCATGTGTCTGATTTTTGACATGGTTTGAAAGAATCTAGGGGACACTTGTGTTTTGTTTTTGAAGTAATTTGAAGAAGTCTTGAGGACTCCTTGTATCTAATTTGTGAAGTGGTTTGAAAGAATTTCCGGGACCTCTTGTGCCTGCTTTTTGAAGTAGTTTGAAAGAATCTCAGCTACCCCTTTTCTTTTGTGTTTGAAGTAGCTTGGAAGTGTCTCCGGGACCTTTTGTGTGTGGCTTTTGAAGTAGTTTAAAGAATCTCACGGGCCTATTGTGTGTGGTTTTTGCAGTAATGGGAAAGAATCGCTCAGCAAAGACCAGTTTTGTTTTGTTTTTGAACTCGTTTGGAAGAATCTCGGGGATCTCTTGTGCTTGGTTTTTGAAGTGGTTTCAAAGAATCCCGGGGACGTCTTGTGTTTTGTTTTTGAAGTAGTCTGAACAAATCTCGGGGTAACTGGTTTTAAAAGTAGTTTGAGAGAATCTCAGGGACGTCTGGTGTGTAGTTTTTGAAGTAATTTGGCAGAATTTCGGAGTCCCATGATCAGGGGCGGATGGAACCTGCTGAACCAATTTGGGAAAAATTTAGACTGAAATTTTACTTCATGTAAAAGTATGTAAATATATAAAATTTGGATTCGGACGCTGTGTTGTACCACGGTTACCGACGTCTGTGGAAAATGCTCGATTTCTAGATGGTCCCATCTCCCCATGTTTATATTCTCAATACGTTAGCATTAACACCGCACAAGACCCCAGATGTAAGCTTTCGAAGGAGTCATCGATCTCAACTTGAGACACTAATTGAAATTCGAAGAAGAATGAACCATTTTAAGCTCATGACAAATAATGAGTTGATTTTAGATTTGGGATGACTGGAGATATTTTCGTTTGCGAATATCAATCTCTTTGCCGCTCTTATGATGTCGTATTGGACCAATTTTTTACGTTGGGTCTTCAGGTCAAATAAAAATAAAATGAGGTTTATCGATTCCTTGAAGATCGCCTAAATTAGATTTACACTAAAAGTATTTTTCATTAATTATGATCGAATCGATAACTGTCGAATAAATAACTTCAATGAGAAACCGTACTCAAAGTACTCAACAAATCCACAGTTGTAAATAACGGGAGCTGCACCTCCACTAGAGAATTGTAGAACTTACTGTAAAACTGGATTTCTGTGTTATTATTTTTAAGGTCAAGTAAAATTTTGCCGTGACGTTTAACCTAGAATCATTTTGTTTTTTCTTTTTACCTTAATGGTCGCTAATTGTTAGAATAAACTCTTTCGCGCCGGAGTGTACCTATTTTTAGAATCTGACATTTCTATGACATTAGAATTTATTGATTTCTTGAAATGGTAACAATGGGTTTATTTTTTTCCAGCTATACCATAATGGCCGGCCATGTTTGCCGGAAGGAGGCGCAGGTCGTCCAACATCCGGGTGATGCAGTTGTTCCATGAGCTGAAGCAACAATTCCCAACCGTTCCCGATCACGTAGTGAGCGCTTGCATAGCGACCCACGCCCATTCAAATTCGCCCAGCAAAGACACTACCATCCGCGAGATCTTAGAAGCGGCAGCCGCCCTCAACCAACAAGAGCCGATGGGACGTTCTCCACCACCCTCCCAAGAACCACCCACCCTCACCCACCCCTCGTCCCGCGATTCGGAAGAAGCAACCGCGACAACGTCAACCGAACGAAACGAAATGAACGACAGTGAGAGTGACATTAATCGAAATGTTGTGAAGTCGACCGGTGTTACGTTTTCGAAAAAGTACGAGTCGGTCAGTGTGTGCACGTCCCAGAAGACGTCGCAGACGACGTCCACGGGCAAGAGCACCTTCTTCGTCAAGCGACCAGACAAGTTGGACATCAGGCCCGACTCGGACTTCCCTCCGCGCCACACCATCCAGCTGTCCGAGAAATGCAAGGACGTGTACAAACTCTTGAACTCGGATAACGTGAGTGATAAGCCGCCGAGGTCGCCGAGCACGTACAAGCGCCTCTCCGCCACCCCCAAGGGCTCGCCGACGCGGACCCAGGACGCGAGGTCCCCGCTGGCCTCTCCGGAGACCGCCAAAAGACTGCAAGAGGAAGGGCGGAGGAAGGAGACGGCGTCCACGCCGACGCAGACCACGGACACGCTGCTGGGCGGCAACAGCGTCAACGTGTCGCTCAACGTCAACTGCTCGATGGACGTGGTGCAGAGCCCCACGAGGCGCCGGTCCGTGATGCAGGTGACGCCGGAGCAGCCCTGGCTGCAGGAGCCTTCTTCCCCGAGGAGTTACACGAGCGTCAACCTCACGCTGAGACCGCCCTCGTCGGAACCGCAGCCACCGATCGACATCACTTCCCAGAACTCGAGTCTGACGTATTCGACTAGCAGCTTCGACTCGCAAAAGGGGCTGCAGAGTCGGCTGCAGATCACGGTGGGGCCAGGCGGAGGGAGCGTCTCGGCGACGAGAACCAGGCCGAGGAGCAGTTACCATCCGGAGGGGAGCGTGGAGGAGGTGGTGCCCTATAGGGCCGGGTCGTTGAACAATCTAGCGGCGGCGAGTGAGCGTAAGTGGACTAGATGTAGACGGTCCAGTCAATCCGGGTTGAAAAATACGAAAACCGAAAATTGCCTGACCACTCAGAATGGACAGTTTCATGCCGGATTGACTGAGCTGGTAGGGTGTAGAGTTAATTGGAAGGGTCGGATCCAGCAAAGTTCCGTTGGACGGGTGGAATGCGATAGCGATTTTATGGAGGTTGTGTTATTGAAGGTTCGATAAATAAAACCCGGGGAATAAAATCAACAAATCGGTAATAAAAATATTTCGAGGAATTGCATTTCGACGGCGGAAATAGGACTTGCGAGTTTGAGATAAGTGTTCGTCGGCTTATCGGTTATATGAGGCATGCATGTATCTGAAATAATATAACGTATTGTGTCTATCAAACAATACTCTGAACTTTGATAATAATGGAAATGTTGGTTTATGCAGAGTATTTTGACCTTATCTTATCGCTAGTTGACATAGGTATTAAATATTCCTTCGTTAATGTTTGTCATTTAGGAATATTTTTTCCTAATTATGATAGTTTCGCGGTAAGAAACCTTCACTATAAGGTATGGGAATTAATATTTCGTGTTACATGGGTTTATCACAGGACGGGCTGCCGATGAAGATGACTATGTGTTCGTGGTAGGAAAACTTCTCTTTACTGAAAAATAATTACGTCGCATACCTGTAATTTTGGATTACACGTAATACTGTCGGGTAGACTCTTGTGTTACAATTAGAATCCTTTTTCCATTTTTTTGCTGTCGGCTTGTGGTTCGGGAGTTGGTATCAATATGTAGCAAGCTTTTCGCAGTCCCGTGTCCTAATGCTTCTTGGTAAGGTCCTCAAAGTTGACTTAAGTTTCAGAAGTTGTATTTCTAAAGTTTGCTGTACCTCGTGTTGGTAAATTAATGCCAACCTCCTTAAATATTTGTGGGTTTAGCGGAAAATTTTGGTTCAGTTCAATATATTATATAAATTTTGTTGCGCAACCGAGTGGATTATGCTGGTCTCTTGGTGACTATTAATAATGTAAAATAATTTCTCGTTCAGCCGTCCCACTCAAAAACAAAACAGTACTTTGCGTATTCAAATTTTACACCAAGAAGAATTGCTGATTTTTGAATTGGCATGCCTAAGACGAACTGAAGGACAAATATTTACTATATCTAGTTGAGATGAAAAAAAATCCTTACTATGAGGGATAGCTATTCAGTTGCTTCTTCTATTTCTTACATTTGCAAGGTATAATAACGTTTTATTCTCAAAACGGATTGTCCGTCTCCGTGGCGCAATGGGTGTATCGGAGAGGACGACCCTGTGGTACTGCGATTGTGATGGTTCGATGCCAAAATTGGCCCTTTCCTTCTTTTTTTTTACATTGGTATAACGCTGTACTTTTCTTTTGCACTATGACTAGAATTATTCATGTTGATGCCACAATAAAAAATATTTTGTTGGTAAAATTAAGAGCGAGTCACCCCATTTACTCGAAAAAATGAAGAATACGCGCGTCTTTACATAATAGTTCGATTGTGGTTGAATTAATAATTTTAGTCCTGATTTGAGAAGACAAACTCTTTCCAATCAAACTAATTTCTACGTGACATTCTTTCGATGCATAAACATAAATAAACACTTCAGCTTCAGATTGCTATTACCTAGTGCCGAAGGACAGGGGGTGTTATTTATGCCTCTGGTTTTTACTTTACAGCGATTAGCACACTACGTAAAATCAAATTTTATAATTTTTTGAAAGAGCAGGATTTTTCGGATTATGCTGGAAGGCTTTCCACAAATTTTTTATTGGTCAAATGAAGAACCTTATTTTCTAGAAAATGTAAGGATACCCACGTCTTTATTTAATTATGATCAAATAAGAATAATAATAATCATATTCAAGACATTTTGTTCCATTGTGGCTTAATTAATAATTTTAGTCTTCTGTTTTGAAGAGACAATTTATTCAAATTAAACAAATTTCTACGTGACATTCTTTCGATGTAATAAGCAATCGAAGTTAAATAGGTACACTGATAATAATACACTCATTTCCGTTGTTTATTTGTTTTGAGTACATTTCATATTGTCTGTATAATTGCGGACGGCACCTCCTTGGAATTTACATCCCCACGGTGCAGCGGGTTCGAGGTGTCATTTACACCATTGGTTTTTACTATATAAAGGTTAACAGAAAACACAAATTTTCTATAACTTTGTTGGATTGTCCGTCAAGGGCGAGGGAACTTCTGTCGAAGTAACCTTGGAGCGATTTTTTTCATGATAGATCCTATAAGATAAAATAAAGATATGCGTAGATCGTTAAGGTACACGTAAGGGAGCATGTTATGCGTGTGTTTCAAGTGTGGACAGACGACAGACAGACGGAAATGGGAGACCTACTTTTTCGTACTCTGGAAGTAAAAATTAATGCTTGAAGAGAAAACTGTTGAAATTTTCTCAAAATTCCGACGTGGTGGCAAAAAGCTAAAAATATTTTCAGACTCAGTGGTGCACGTATTAGAAAAAAAAAAAAACTATTTGAAGCGTTATCGCTTATGTTGTTTAACCATGTTATCGTAAAGTTTGCGTTAGTCTCGATGTTCAATGTAATGTTTATACTCATATCTTAAAACCCACACCTTGAGTAACAAAAAAATGTCAAATTTTGTTAAGTATGTTAAGAATACCGTGTACACGTAAAATGCGCCCCTCAATATTTTTTTTAGTAAACGTCATTTAAATTTTAAAAAATAACATATTCATGCACTTGTGGTTTATGAGTTCGCCTTGATTTTTTAACTCTATGTATCCAGATTCTGGCAAAAAAGTTCAAATAGCATCATCACATTTTGTACCAGTACCTATAAGATCACTGACGTGTGGTCGTCCCGTAAATAAGTTGAATTACTAACGCGAAGACGTCGAATTCGATTGACCCATGGGTCACATCTTTTAACACAGTGACTGGTATCTTTTCACTTACCAGTACCGCACGTGTTGGAATTGACATAAATGTTCTTGCTAAAATGTTAAAAAATAAGCAACTTAACAGAGTGTGTTTTCGTAATATAATGCGTTCGAACTAAAGGCGCTGGCGGAGCATGACGATTAAAGAGTGATACATTAATGAATTCAGAAAAACAAACTACAAAAATCTCTAAAAAATACTAACATTTTTATTCTTACTTCCCAACGAGAGATAAGAGCTGCTGTCGAAATAACCTTCCACCAGTTTTTAATAAATGTTTTGCGTCGTCAAGTAAGCAAAAGAATATGTCCACTTTTACAAGGAACTTTCTTCAAATGTGACAACGTTAACTTAACAGTAGTAATAATTTTTTATGGCTACATTTATAGTTTTTCAAAACTTACTTAAGCTGCTACTGATAAGGCAGATTCATAGACCACAGTTACAGGAGTACGTTATTTTATAAAAATTTGATGTTTTTATTAAGGGAATCCATTAATTTGGGTTAGCGTTTCACCATCTACACGATAACGTGCATACAAAATTTGACAACGGTCTAGTTTCGAAGGTTATCTGTGTAATAAAATTCGTCGGATCTTTTCATAACTTAAGGTATTTTTATATCTTGTACTATAATTATTGTAATAATCACCATTCGCTGCCAATAAGTGTGAATTATTGCATTCTTGTTTAAATACAAACTAGTGGTCGTTCTCTTATAAAAATAGGTGGCCGTGAGTCTCTTTGTTTTAAATTAAACGTGAACCTAATTATTCTTTTATAATTTCGTAATTACACGTTTAGTTTCAACCGCTTTTCTCCATACATACGTAATTTGGGACTGAACGAAAACAAAATACACCATTTCAGTTTCTTGAATATCATTAATGAAAATGAAAAATATAGTATATAACGGAGCCCTGCGCTACACCTAGATTAAATTTTAATAATTTGAATGTTTTTTATCAAAACCAGGTATAACTGTGTTTACTCTTTCTGCTGCTTCTTGCTTCCCTTTCTTTTTTTTTTATTAAAATTTGGCACGAAACACGTAACTCGCTGCAATTTATCTTTTTATTGGGGCGCAATAAAGAAATACAAACAGGTTAATAAAAATACGAAAACCTTCATACTGAGGTACCGTCCAAAGCAGTTAAAAGTACGTAAAAAACTTGATTTTCATTCAAGAAAGTTAAAAAATGTGCGCCTTTCTTGAACCATGTTTAACAACCTCCTCGTCTCTCGAAGCTGCCAGTGAAAATAATAGGCGGTCATTATTTTTCTTTTTGTGTTTTGACTAAGTTTAATTTTATAAGTTCTTGTTTGTGTCATTTCGTGTAGGTTTCTGCACATTTGTTCAAAATTTCTAAGAATACGTAACCGAAAACACGCCAACAATTAATCACTAATCATGTGCCTCGAGATCCGAATCGTCGACTCGCCGCTAATTACCCCCGTCTCCCCCCATCCAAGACCCATTTTTGTTTGTCAAAATCGCGTCCAAAAACAACACATTCCGCAAAGTTCGCACTCCGCCCCGTTTCCCGAACAATCAAAGATAATTTCAAGTTCAAGTCTAACGAATAAACCAACCCACTCATCGAGCAATCCATCAATATTTTTCTGGTCGGATTGCCAAAATCGAAACGACTTCACATATTTTCGTCTTGGTTTTGACGTTCTCGCCGACTTAATTCAGTTTGGCGTGCAACTCAAGGAAATATAGGTTTCCGAATTGTGTAAGATTATATAAACTAGTACTCCGGAAATAGTAATAATGTAACAGATCGATCCGGCTCGAAGGACTAACCGCGAATTCGGTACCTTGAGGAATCGTAAACAGTCGTGAGTCATCCTTGCGGTCGATTAGTATTCTTGCGAGGGGCCGAGCGCGTAGCGGTCGAAGGCGGACCGCTAACTTCACAGGTATCTCTCTATTTTGCGAATCAGGTGTTCGCAAACCCACCGGCGTCTATAAATAAGCCGTGGCTCGCCCACGCAACCTGAGGGCGTAATTTTAAAAGCAACAAGGACGCCGTCAA